GCATGTAACAACCTAATTATTGCGACTACCCTACTAGTCTTTTTCCAGTCGTTTTCATTCTGTGCGCGCGCTGTGTGGTTCGGATGACAAATTGCATGATGTCACTACGTACGTTGTTATTTCAACTCCACCTGACTGCGTTACCAACCACCAAAAACACACTATAATTATTTTTATGACAAGAAAATTATAATATCGTCTGCTTACCGTTCGGTTGTTGTTGTACTGTCAGCCATTTCAAAACCACCACGTACGTTCGCGATCGCCTTTCCTTGCTGATAAGGACAGGGGACCAGTCTAGTTCGCCTCGTTGCTAACTTTCGCCAACGTTGGCGCGGCGGCGCACAGCTTGTTCGATCCACTCAAAATGAGATCGGTAGCAAACGCGCGCAAACTTGGCAACGTTTGCGCAAGTGGAACCACCACAGGATACAGTTTGCAAGGTGGTGCGGCGCGCGATGTTAGATTGTGTGTATTTGTGTGGGCAAACTTCAGTTCAAAAATTGCGCGCACGCAAATTCCAAGTTGGCTTGCGCGAATTTCAAAACAGGCCATCTTAAGATTGCATCACAATTACAGTTGTTTGAAACGCCACGACTTCGACATACTTTCGGCGCGACCGATGTCGTGGATTCGATGTCACATCACCAAACACTAATAAGGCTCGTCAACGCTTCACCCTTTCATCAACTTTATAGGTAACGCTTCACCCAATTATTAAAAAGGAACGTTACGGCTTCACTATAACAACAAATTATTGACCTCAGGCTTCGGCGTCGAAACGGCGTCGATATTTTGCGACCTCTGAGGAGGGTGGGTCCACGCTTCAAATTGACGCCTGCATAACATCTAGAGTGTACAGCATGAGACGCAAATTAAGTTAAAACATAAACTCACTCGGTGTGCTAATTGTTGATCCGGAATCTCCATTGTCGTTTTGGGATGGCCCTGTAGTTTCAACCTCCACCTTTCCATCTTTAATGTGTCAATCAGATTCAAGTTCAAATGTCAAAAAAATCACATTATACGCTAAATTAAAACTTATTTCTGATAAATTATTTCCATATTGCAAGTGACAATACAGTCCCAATGCTATTCAGACGACATCTGTTGTTAAAAACGCTTGTATTACACATTCTACCATCACCAAGTTAACGTTCGACTCGGATTTGAGCTGAGCAAACCAACACTTCTTCTATACCAGGACAGTCATCTATATCAGGGGTGACGTAGCGCGTTATTAGCAATTCATTAGCTTTCCCTTGGCGTGAGTTCGGGAAGCCAGCCCAAAAGGTTGATATTTATTAATGAATAACTCGTGAAGGAGGCTATAGCAGAAGTGTTTACTACACACCATTATGGATATGAACCTTATTAAAACTAATGTGGCTTGAAAAGATTGATATAAATTGCAAAACACCATTATGCTACAGTTTCGAACAATGGCCCTAACTAAACCTATTTTCCCGATTTCGATAACAATTACTGAACATATCAAAACGAATTTTAGCACATATATTTGGATCATTATAAGGGAAACAAACTCCGAAAGTGGCATGAAGATACAGTCTTCAAAACAGGAGAAATTGATATTGAAAAGGTTTACCCGCTGTCGTGTCTGCATGTTACAGATCTATTAGTCTATTAGAGTATGTCAACGGTCAACTCTTGTAAGAGTTTCTGTGCGAGGAGCCATGTTGAATAAACGTGTGTCATGAAGTTGTAAGCCAAACCGAGCTGGAGCTGTTGTGGTGCTATCTGCGTCCTAGTTGTTTAAATACGAATCCCCTATAACGCGGCATTCTCACGGCAAACATTTCATCAGTTGTCACAGAAGGAAGGAGAGACTGTGCTACAATTTGTAACCAGACTTCGGAGGGCGGCCAGGGATTGCGATTTTGGAGGGGAAAAGGACAATCAGATCAGGGATGCTGTGTTGAGTAAGTGCAAATCCGATTATGTTATACGCAAACTGTTGGAAACTGGGGCTGAACTGACACTGGATAATTATAGTACTGCAAATAGCTGATAAATGTGAAAAGGTGGAAGGAAAAATGGATGCACTGTCTGGCAAAAGCAAAGACCCTAAATCTGACTCTGTCAACCGTGTGTCAGACAAGAAACATAAATCCCGTGACAAGCAGTATAAGCCCAAAACGGAAACCAAACACTTAAGGTAGCCACAATCACAAAGTGGAAATCAGCGTACAAAACCTGAACCGACCCCCAAAGGTGCTTGCTACAGATGTGGTCGAACCTGACATTTCGGCCGTGACTCGAACTGTCCCGCGAGGGGTCAGACATACCAAAAGTGTTCTGGCAGGGACCACTTCGCAAAGATATGCAAAACAAAAATCAAGCCCAGAGTCAATCAAGTGGGTGAGGAACACACCAACCCCGATGCTTCACAAGATTACGCCTTCCTGAGAGGGACCACATTCGAACATGTCGAAGATCTAGGAGGGCGGAGTCGACCTTAACATGCTGATTGACTCGGGAGCCACGAGCAATATCATCGACGAGCAGACTTGGGACTTCCTCAAACGGAACAAAATTCAGTGTGAATCCTGTTAGATATTGGTTTAATAGTTACTGCGCATGCTCATTAGAGTAGTGTTTACTTGCAGGTAAGTAGTGTATACAGCACTCCCGATGCACAGTAGCATACACGAGTCCTGTTTATTACGTCACGATTTACTGTGTTTTGTTTGCTGCCCGCAACGACGACTTTTACACAGTTGCACGTTCGGGTCGAAACTGGACATGAAAAACAGCTCTCAAAAGTACCCTTTGTACTCATTTCATGACAGAAACAATAGTCGTTTTTATTTCATCACACCTTAGGCTACATATACCCGAAAAATGACGGAAATGTCTTCGAGCATTCCACAACCTCTTTAAACAAGAGTTCGTCTCAGGCACTGTTAAAAGCTTAGATGTTTGTGCCTTGAAGCTCCGTAAACGATCATGAATAAATGCCATAAATGGATGCCGAGACATAACAATTACCGAAAAGGATAAAATTAAAAACGTATTGCACCTGCAGGAGAAGTGAAAATGCCTACATCTGCCGCAGACTTTGAGATTTTGATCAAGATCTGTCTGCAAAAACTTCGGAGTTGTGAACACAACGACGGTGAACTAGACTCCGTACGCAACTTCCATGCTGCCGTTCCATCAATTGGATTTCGCCCTTTCTAGCACGAGGTTGTGCATCATGCCGTGCACATGCAAAGCCTGCCAGTGACGCATGTACATGGACACGCTACATACAGCTACGCGTTGTGTGACGAGTGCGCAGCTGATCAACGAATGCCACGTTGACGGTGACCAAACTTTGGAGCCTGCCAGCTTCGATCCAACATCTGCCGATGTTCTGCCCTGCTGATGCTCATGCCCTGCCTTGCCCTGCCCAGCCCTACACCCGTGCCTGATGTGATGGGAGGAAAACAAATGCCCAAAATTGTCGAGAACATAGCTAAATGATTGTCATTACGCGGTGAGTTGTGAGCAAATTTTCAACGATTCACAAGTTAAACAGTGTGTTTACTACCGCCAGCCAACTTTGAAAATACTTCCGATAGCCAAGTCAATGGCTCAACGCAAGCCTACAGTAACTAAGAACAAACTCGACAGTTATTGAACTAGCCATATATTGCTTTCAGAGCCTAGGATTGTTATCCGTCCAGCCGCCCCCCCCCCCTTCCCGCCCGACTTCAACGACCACTACCATTGATGTTCCGCGTAAGGTTGCGCACAGCTGAGGGAACAGCCATTCCGCCGTGTCTTGCCGCACATGCACAGCGCAGAGGGATAAGCCTGACTACCGCAACAGCAGACCTGATGCTTTACCGTACAGCACAGAGGGAAGAGCTTCCATACCGCAACAGCAAACCCGTTGTCTTGCCGCACATCGGACGATGCAGTGCTGGAATAGTGCCGTGAACTGTTGCAATTTTTCGAACTGCGCGAGGAATCACCAGCCATATACAGATATGAAACTGTTTACAAACTGTTTTGAAACTGTTCATTGAATTGTTGTTAACTGTTCACAAACTGTTTTGAAACTTTTCATTGAATTGTTGGTAATTGTTGTTGCATGTTAACAGTATTACCGAGTATTTTGTTTAATAATACAGTGATTCATGTGATACCTGAATAATGGCAAATGCTCTAAATGTAGGTATTATAGGGACTGTTCCCACACTGGACACAAATGCTTGTAAATTTGAAGAATGGGTTGAAGTACTTGAAGCTTAGTTTGAAGCAAATTCTATCACAGCAGATACCAGGAAACGTGCAGTGTTACTCACTAGTTTAGGAACCAACGGTTACCACACACTAAGAGCCCTGTTACAGCCTAGCAAGCCAGCAGATAAGCCATATGCAGATTGTACTTCAGTTTTGCAGAAGCATTATTCACCGAAACCTAGTGAAATAGTTCTCAGGTACCGTTTTTATACTCGATCTCAGAAGGAAGGTGAAAGTATTGCACAATTTGTTGCAGGGTTACGCCAACTTAGTGATGGTTGTAATTTTAAAGAGCTAGATAACATGTTAAGAGACCGTTTGGTTGTAGGTTGTAAGGAAGCAAGCATACAGCGTAAATTGCTAAGTGAAACAAAACTCACATTCGAGAAAAGCCTGAATATTGCCTCAGCCATGGAAATGGCAAGACGAGATGTAGAAGATATCAAGAAAATGGCTCAGCCTAATATCGAAACAGCCAAAGTATTAAGATGCAGCCATACAAAAAGCCCCCACAAAAGCCAAGTGTCCCCAGACAGCCCAGACAGCCCCGATCAAGTGATCGACAAGAACCAAGAGCAACGCAGCCCCAGGGTGATGGTTCGTTCCAGAGCCGTGAACACAGATGTTGGCGCTGTGGTGGACGCCATTTTGCCAACACCTGCTCTTTCATCAAGGAGACATGCCACAAATGTCAGCAAATCGGTCATACTAAGAGCCAGTGCGATAAAGTAAAGGAGTATCGTTCGAAGATGACCAATAAGAAGCCCTACGAGCAAAGAGCTCATCATCTTCTTGATGTGACTGATGACGAACCACCTCAAGATATCACAGATGACTTTACAATGTTAAAACATTTGGAGCCAGAAGCAAACACTGTCAACAAGCTGTCAGTTAAGCCATACCAGATGGAGCTAGAGATCAACAACAGCAGCATAACTATGGAACTGGACACAGGAAGTCCGTGGACCATTGTTTCGTATGAGACGTATAAGAAAGTTGGAAAGCTAGGTACCATCCGCCCAAGTAAAGTCAGCCTCAAGACGTATACAGGAGCTAAAGTCAAAATACTTGGAGAAGCAGAAGTCACTGTCAGATATGCTTCTTCTAATCCTAAAGTCCTACCATTGCTAGTGGTGGAAGAAGGAGTAAGTTTGATTGGGAGAGAGTGGATACAGCAAATTCCACTGCCATTAACCGAGGTATTGTCACGCCACGCTGTAAAAGAAAGCACTGAGGGTGCAGCAACTACTAACAAACTGGTGACAGCCAACTTGAAGGAAATGCTAAAATCCCATGAGCAAGTATTTGATGACAGCAGCCTGGGACATCTGCAAGGTTTCAAAGCCAAACTGTACCCTGTGGATGATGCCCCTAAATTCTACAAGGCCGCTCCAGTTGCCTATGCTGCTAGACAGAAAATCGACAAGAGTCTCGATGAAATGTTGGAGCAAGGAGAGATTGAAGCCGTGAAGTTTGCAGATTATGCATGCCCAATTGTGGTTGCCCCAAAGCCTAACGGACAGATTTGCATCTGTGGGAACTACAAGCTGACTGCAAATAAGGTGCTACGCTTGGAACAGTACCCACTTTCGACATTGGAGGATATGATGCAAGACCTCCAAGGTGGCAAGAAATTCTCAAAAAATGACCTGTCACACGCCTATCATCAAATCGAGCTTGATGAAGATGCCCGCAAATACACGACTATCAATACGCATCGTGGACTGTACCAGTACACCAGAGTTCCTTTTGGACTGGCCTCAGCCCCAGCATTGTTCCAGAGGACAATAGAGTCCCTGATAGCCGACATACCCATGTGCCGCCCATACTTAGATGATATTATCATCACAGGTAGAAATGATGCCGATAATCTGGCAAATCTTGAAGCTGTACTCCAGCGATTGGAAAAACATGGGATGAAAATCAAGAAGGAGAAGTGTGAATTCCTACGAGAATCGGTGACGTATCTAGGCCATTCCATTGATGCTGAAGGAATGAGACCGTTGGAGGACAAGGTACAAGCCATTCGCTTAGCACCCGTGCCCAAGAACCAGGAGGAGCTGAAAGCGTACTTGGGTCTCCTGGGTTATTATCGCAAGTTTCTGCCAAACTTGTCGACACAGATTGCACCACTGACCATGCTACTGAAAGACGAGTACAAAAGTGGAACGAAGTGTAAAGCAAGCCAGAAGACTTCGACCAGCCCAAACTTCAAATGGGGTCCAGCACAGCAACAAGCTTTCGATACTTCCAAACAGTTGTTGGAAAGTGATGCGCTGCTAGTTCACTTTGACCCCCGCAAGCCAGTGTTGCTTCAGACGGACGCTAGCCCTTATGGGTTAGGCGCCGTTATCAGCCACGAAATGCCTGACGGAACAGAAAAGCCTATAGCTTTTGCCTCCAGAACATTGACGCCTTGTGAACGAAACTATGCCCAATATGAGAAGGAAGGTCTTTCGATTGTCTTTGGACTGAAAAGTTTCCATAAGTACTTGCATGGCAACCGTTTTCGCATCGTTACAGACCATAAGCCATTGGTATCGCTTTTTGGAGACAAGCCAGCCAGCCCTATGTCTTCAGCCAGAGTAGCAAGATGGCACATGTTACTCTCAGCATATGAGTACACGATCATCCACAAAGCAGGCCGGCTTCATACAAACGCAGATGCGTTATCACGACTGCCTGTAGAGAGCACCGTGGAAGAGAAAATCCACTGGATGCATGACATATTGGAGGATGAATCAGCTGTGAAGTCACGCATCAACTTGCTTGATGACGTAGATGGCCGACCAGTAGATGCACAGGAAGTAAAGGTCTTAACAGACAAAGACCCGCTTCTTTCCAAAGTACGTAGCTACATCCTGCGAGGATGGCCAGAAGGACACATCAAGGGAGAGATGTCATCTTACACCACCAAACAGTTGGAGCTCAGCTTAGAAGATGGTGTTGTGCTGTGGGATTCAAGGGTGGTGATCCCACAAGATTTCCAGCTACGTAAGCGCCTGATGCAAGAATTGCATGCTACTCACCCAGGGATCGTGAAAATGAAGATGCTGTCACGATCTAACTTCTGGTGGCCAGGAGTTGACAAGGAGTTGGAAACACTCGTCAAAGGATGCAAAGTCTGCCAGGAAAGCCAGAAGATGCCCCAGCAGAGCCCGATACACCCATGGGAATTTCCAGAGCGTCCATGGCAACGCTTGCACATAGATTATGCCTTAGATGAAGGTCGAGAAGTGCTTATTGTGGTCGACGCACACAGTAAGTGGATTGAGGCAGTGCCAGTCAACTCTGCTTCATCAGCGTCTACCATCAAGGTGGTGCGGAGAATGTTTGCATCGCATGGAATCCCAGATGTCATTGCAAGCGACAATGGCACACCATTCGTGTCAGAGGAGTTCTTTACCTTTCTCACCAACAACGGAGTTGAACACATACAAACTGTTCCAAAGCACCCATCCAGCAATGGTCTGGGCGAAAGAGCTGTTCAGACAGTTAAGAATGGCATGAAAAAGATGAAAGGATGTAACCTTGAGATGAGACTGCAGAAGTTTCTACTTCAGTATCGAGTTACTCCACAAGCAAGTACAGGAAAAAGTCCAAGTGAGCTCCTGTACAGACGTCAAATACTTACCAAACTAGACAAGCTTCGCCCAGATCTTGCCAAGAAGCTGAAACGACAGCAGAATCAGATGAAAGACCAGGCGGACAGAGGATCTAAACCTAGATGTTTTTAAACAGGAGATCACGTCTTAGTGAAGAATTTTGCAGCAGGCCCAACATGGCTCCGTGGTACTGTTCAAAGTGAAATAAGCCCTAGTCTCTATGAGATACACCTGACAGATGGTCGAGCAGTTAGACCACATTGACCACATGAGAAAAGTTGAACACCTACCTGCACCGGAAAACAAACGTGATGTCATAATCCCGGTCAGCATAGATGAAAACCAAACCGTACCACTGCCTATCAACACAGATACAAATACAAGCCAGATATCTGAACAACCAGAGGATTCTAATCCCACTCCTGAGCCGAATCAGTCTCCACCATTGAGAGTGTCTACCAGAGTTACACGCCCCCCAGATTATCTCAAAGATTACGTAACTTACAAATAGATTAAAAGTGTGCAAAAATAACCAGTCAATCACACTTCACCATAAAAGTTTTTAGTGTTATTTTACCAAAATAACAAGGTGACTACTTTCGTGTTACAAAGCATTTTAAGTAAATTACATGTGCACAAGAAACATTTTGGTAATTAGTACAACAGTTTTGAAATTAAACCAAATTTCATTGGTGTTTTAAAGTTTATTGTTGTTAAAAAAAAAATAAAAATAATGCCCTTGCTTTGTTTTAAAAGGGGAGGAATGTTAGATATTGGTTTAATAGTTACTGCGCATGCTCTTTAGAGTAGTGTTTACTTGTACGTAAGTAGTGTATACAGCACTTGTACGTTAAACAAGAGTTCGTCTCAGACACTGTTAAAAGCTTAGATGTTTGTGCCTTGAAGCTCCGTAAACGATCATGAATAAATGCCATAAATGGATGCCGAGACATAACAAATCCCATGTAGCCCCACCAGACAAAAAGCTGTGGGCGTATGGCGCAGACCGTCCCCTGTCACTCAAGGGTACGTTCGAGTGCAAAGTGCAGGTATCAGGCAGATCTACCCGAGCCGAATTTATCGTCATCAAAGGAAAGGGAGTGCCGTTACTTGGCAAAGACACATCAATAAACTGGGCGTACTCCAAATCGGAATCAATGCTGTAAGCGGCCACGCCGGCACTATAGATGAGGTCAAAGTTGACAGATGCACTAAGAACAGCTCAGCTATGAGCGGTGACAAGGCCAAGCAATACCAGCAGCAGTTTCCTGGGGTGTTCGGAGGCGTGGGTAAGCTGAAAACTGAGCAAGTTAAGCTCCACATCGACACCTCAGTTTCGCCAGTTGCGCAGCCCCTTAGGCGAACGCCATTCAATTTGCGTAGTAGAGTAGAACAAAACATACGCGAACTAGAGCGCCTTGACATAATCGAAGCCGTTGATGGCCTGACACCTTTGGTCAACCCTGTCGCTGTGGTACCGAAACCGAACGGCGACATTAGACTTTGTCTTGACATGAGACGCGCGAATGAAGCGATCATACGCGGCCGTCATCCAATTCCTACTGTGGATGAACTTTTGCAAAGCATGAACGGCTCAAAGGTTTTCAGCAAATTCGACCTCAAATGGGGTTACCACCAGTTGGAACTCGCCCCGGAGTCGCGAGGGATCACGACGTTTGTCATGCATTGCGGTCTATATCAGTTCAAACGACTTCTGTTCGGAGTAAGTTCTGCGAGCGAACAGTACTAGTACATTATCGCAAAAGCGCTAGCAGGTATTGTAGGCGTAGAAAATATCTCGGACGACATAATTGTACATAGCCCTGACCAAAATACCCATGACAGTAGAGTGCTGGCAGTGTTGCGCAGATTGCAGGAGCTAGGTCTTTCCCTGAATGCTGAGAAGTGCCAATTCAACATGAGCCGGCTAGTATTCATGGGGATCCTGTTGTCCGAGAAGGGCACTGGTCCCACGCAAGAACGCGTCAGAGCCGTATCCGAATTTAGAGAGCCCGAGAACGTATCAGAGGTTCGGAGTTTTCTCGGCCTTGGTTCCAAACTGCTATGCGAGCCGCAGCCTGACCGATTGCGAGAGAAGATATTCGCAAACAGAAAAGGAAGCGCTGTTGTTGGTTTGGGTCTGCGAAAGATTCCATGCCTATAACTACGGACGCGACTTTGAGCTTCTAACTGACCACAAGCCACTCGCGGTCATATGGACCCCGTTCCAAACCGTGTGCCCGAATTGAACGCTGGGTACTACGCTTACAACCGTACAATTACACAGTTGTATACGTCCCCGGACGCGAGAATATCGCTGATGCCCTGTCACGCCTCTCAAGTGGCAAGGGCAAACCGGAACATGCCCATGGCGCGGATGAGTATGTTCGTTTCGTAGCCGTATCTGCGACGCCGCGTACCATGACCACGAGGCAAATCGAAAACGCGTCTGCCGAAGACGGTGAACTTGCCAACGTGAGAGAAGCAATTCGCACTGAAAAGTTCGAAAACTGTAAGGCATACGCTCCGGTCGTAGGAGACCTGTGTATCATGGGACAGCTTGTTCTGCGTGGAACACGCATCGTCCTATCACAGAAATTGAGGCAACAGCACTTGCTCTTGCTCACGTAGGGCATCTCGGCATTGTCGGCACCAAACCAAATCTCCGCACGAAAGTCTGGTGGCCGGCAATGGACAAAGCGGCGGAAAAAGTTCTGCAAATCTCGTCACGGATGCCAAATTGTATCGCGGATGCCAAATTGTATCGCGACATAATCCCCCTGAACCGCTTAGGCCAAACCCACTCCCGGATGGTCTGTGGCCAGATCTGGCAACCGACCTGCTTGGGCCACTTCCATCGGGACATTCTATACTACACTGTTAAAAAAAAATGTCTGTTCATTAACAGTTGATTCTATTGTCAATTGGCATTACAGGAGTTACTGTTTTTGCACAGTATATTCTACTGTTTCTTTTTTCTCTGTACATTAACAGCAGATTCTACTTTAATTGATATTGTTCATTTACAGGGGATTCTACTGTTTTGCAACAGATGATTAAGTGTTGTCGTTTTGTAACCTAACAGCACATTCGCTGTTTTTTTGTTCCTTAACAACTCTCTGTTGCTGAACAAAAGGTTGTTTTTGTTTAAACGGTGTTTATTTGATTGGGCGCGATGAACGACAAAGTGTTCATGTTTGTATCGAGGATTGCGAATGACAGGTCCTGTGTGAGCCTCAGTACACAGATATTCTCGTTTAATGAACGTACTTCACATGCAGATACTTGTAACACGTCATGTAATGGCGGTGCTATCGATACAACCCATGAAGGTTCGAATGTAGATACTTGCACGTTGGCTTACGGCGAGTCATGCTGCAATGACAACCAGGCAACTTTCAACTGATGTTGTCGTTGACAATCAGGCTTACAAACTGAAACCGCTTCTATATAGCGCTTCTCCTTGAGAATAATAGTCATTTACAATACAAATACAAACATGTAAGCAGAAACGGATTAGTAAATTTGCTCCAAGATGCTACAACATCACACTCACAGTACGCCTACGCACGGACGCAACGGGAAGTTGTATGACACTGTATAGTCCGACTCCCGCGCGCGCCTTCCTTGACAACATACTGGTACCCTTCAGCGTTTATGCCACAGTAACTTGCACTACTACCGCCTACCAGGGAAAAATCACGCGATAAGGCCGAACCCTGTACAAAAAAGATGATTCTCTGTTGACCGACAGCGATGTAACTGTGTTCTAACTGAGTCGAAACGGGAGGCTTGTTCAAAACATGATGTTCCTTGTGCTTGCACAGAATTTTAGTTTAACAGCGAATATTCCATAACCAAACATAGAAATGGAGAAAACTGTACGTAGGCAGGAACAAATTTGTAGATTTACAGAAAAATCCGAAAACAGTAACATCTACTGTAATTTTACAGAAATTTCAACGGAAAAACAACCGTTAAATAACTCAATTGATTTTTACAGTGTAGGCCTATTTGTGTTTTATGGCACACTGCGGTATTTTTGTGGGTCACCGAATTTTTCAGAGGCCGTAGGCACAGAGCCTACAGCGCCTATTAAATAATCCGGGATAATCAGTTGGATCACTGCTCAGCTGGCAGTTGAAAACTCGAAAGGGCGGGGAAGGCACTGGTCCTCATTTGACGTTATAGGGCGCTCTTCCCCCGTTGCTATCTAGCTTTATTCGTAGTAATAAACGAACTCCGTAGAGGAAATGGAAATAAGTAGCATGGGTTTGAAAACACCATCTCTCTTTTGGTTTAATTCCAATGGAGCATTTTGGTAGGGGAATGGCCCTTGTTGCACTTTTTACCAAAAACAAACAATCAAAATGTTATTCATGTACGTTTTTATCTTGTTAGAAACAATTAACGGGAAAAAACGCTAACGCTATTGAAGGAAATTACATTTGAAACCTTCAGAAGTAAGTAACCATTAAATATAAAGATTCACGATTTTTTTCTCCATGCATGAATAATATACTAAAAAGACTTACCATAAAACACGATAAGTTCTATTTCAGATATGATGGTTCCTGCTCCTTGTAACACGCCACAGTAGAACTTTGTGCCATTCAAGGACCCAGAAACATGAGGGATCGTCAGAGCCCCGCTTGTCTGGTTAAGTACAGGCGTATACCCCGCAATGGGCAATACAGATGTACATGTGACAATGGTTGATATATTTAGCATCCATTCGAACGTGACACCTGTACCACTGCATGGTGGAGTCACCGTTCTGTCGAGTGCTTTGCATTCCAGCTCTACATCCTCTCCCTCCACGGCTGTCAAAATCGTCTCTATGAAAAAGCATTACAAAAAAAATCCCAAATCAGTAAATACTCTTATTTGTGAACGTTCATCGCGACTTTCAAAATTGATGATCCTCTTGTGAATGTTGGGCCTCTTTGTGGGAATAACCGTCAACCCAACACGAAAGAGATGCAACATGAGTTGAAAATTAGCATTACAGTGTTTTAGTTTTCTTCAAAATATCTTTGACATAATTTGACCTACCACAAGAAAGGTCACATACGGCACAAAACACGCAGATACAAATCATCCCGTATAACTGATTCATTTTGGAAGAGATT